CTATGAAATGCAAAGCAGGTGAGTGTTTGCCAACGCAACCCCACCCCCCCACCGCCAACGTTTTTTTTTTTTTTTTTTTTTTTTTGGTCCGGACATTTTGTACCCCCGATATCGGTCCAGACTGTCCGGATCCGGTGGCGTCCGGTGATGTCCAGACCACTGGACAGTCCGCACACTCGTCCGGAGTCCTGAAGTGTCCAGTGTTACCATGCCCCGTTCCTTTTGTTTTTTTAACCTTTTGCTTCTTTCCTCCTATTCACATTCCCGGGAATGCCCTTGCTCAGGGCAAACTCACACTACTAATTTTGAGAATGTATCGGATGAATATTACGTCCAAATCGGTCTTTGTTTTCTTTTCTTTTTTTTTTGGCTTTGTGCAATAAACTCAGTTCACATACCGCACTAGTCAAAGGATGGGCCGTAGCTTTTGGTCAAAGGCCAGAATGAGGGGTCAAAAGTCACATCCTGAGGCCTTAAATTGTCTGAGACAGTCCCTAGAGCCAAGGGGTACGGAGCCCTAGGTCAAAAACAGTGTCCAGTACCCCCATGCCCAACAGTTGACTCCTGGAAAATCAAGAATCAGGCTCTACACGGGAATACAGGCCCAAAGTCAAACTCGACCCATAGCAGTCCACCACGGCCGTAGATCAGATGCATCTCAAAGGATGTCTACAGGTATCCAAAAGATTACGGTCCAAGTGGAACAGAGGGAAAGCATGGGACAGCACTGCATCCAGGCCATTGACTTTCAGATAATCTGGGCTGTCGACCCAAGGAGGCTGGAGGCCGGAGGCTGGTCAACGCGAGTCAACACTATATAGAGTTGAACCAGCCACTGTGGAGATCATTCTGCCTTGCATTGACATGCGGCCAAGCTGAAGTGCGCGAGGCTACAGAGAGAGGCTGCAGGCGCCAGGCTGTGAGGAAGGGCGCCAGCCAGAGCGTTGTGAGGAGAGAGAGAGAGTGGGCAGCCATAGCTGCCATTGTAGATGATTCTGGTGTACGGCGAGGTGGTGAAGAGATCAGGCTGTGAGACTGGAAGAGGAGCTTGTGGAAGGGATTCTTACCTTGCCCTACCTGTTGTTGGTGTGGTCACACTGCGGCTGTTCTTCGCGTTGACAGAGGAAGAGACTTGCCGACCTCCATAGCCTGGAAGAAGGGGAGGTTGTGTGCCCGGCTTGATGCTGCACAGCGACTTCATCAGCCATGTGTCAGATTGAGAGAATCCTGCTGAGGTGGCGCTGACGGAGATGCCCGAAGGAGGAGAGGGAGAGCAGCATACTTTTTTTTTTTTTTTTTTCTAAACAGGGCCTTATGGTCCTAGCTCCTTCTATTCTGGGGAGCATCAGTCCGGTTCCTATTCCACCGGCAAGTCAAAATACATTTACATCAATGAAAACTCACACACGCTTCCTTCCGTCAGGCCGAAGGACCCCTGAACAGCATTGATTACTCCACCACAGTGGAGGATTGACTGTCAGCTTGCCCTGCCCCTCTCTTTCCTCTCAGACCTGGTATCCAGATCTGCCAGATAGCACCTTTGCCCCTAGGAAGAGTTCATCCTTTGTCCATGCCGACCTGTTCCATTCATCACCCACCTCCCTGTCCCTTGGTATGAACGACCAGATCACCTTAAACCCTAAACCCTCAGCCAGTGTTCCTATCTTCTGAAATGTAGACCTTGGGCGCTGGCAGAATTTCGTTTATTTCCCGACCACTGTGACCGAACCTCCTCAGCAACCCCCGTTCATGTACCATTTCTACTCCTCCGACTTGTCCTCCCTTCTCCCACGTTCCCTCTTTGTCTGTGCCCCTTGGATCTCTAGCAAATTGTAAGTATCCCCTTACGTTCTTAGAAGTGGCTATGCTCTCCGACGTTGTCTGCTGTTGAAAGCCCCTTTCTGGAATTGAATTATGCCAGTCTTTCCAGCATATTCGATCTTGCCGCAGTTCTGCAATACCAGCCAGCTTCTATAGAATTTCTGTCTTTCCTTTTCCCGTTGCTCTTCGTCTTCTGACCAGGCTTGTTTGACCTTCTGCCATCTGCAAAGGATCTCCGCTTGAATCATAGTTTTGGTCTCTATCCACACCTTCTCTCGTGGGTTGGACCGCCCTTCAATTGTTCTGCTGCATCTTTCCTTCCATGTGACCCACAGAGTCACTTTCCTGATGAGTTCGAACCAGATCCTCTCTGTCTTCCGTGCCAGTTCGGGGATGTTAGCCAGGAGGAGCAGTTGAATGGGTTGTTCGGGGAAGGGGGACGAGAAGAGGGAGTCCCAGAGTGTTGAAGCTCTCGCCCAGTATTCGGTTGCCTCTTTACAAAGCATCAAACAGTGCACTACATCTTCGACCGCACCTTCGGTGCACACTGTGCATAACTCCGAGCTGTCAGGATCTGTGGCTTTCCGTCTAATGTGCAACCATTGATTTACCGGGAGGGCAGCATATACGATCAGCCACTGCAAACTTCTAATTTTGATTGGTCTAATACGTTTGAATTTCTCCCACTGGATTCTTGTGATCTTATCTGCTTCCTGACCCACGAGGTTCCGCCATCTGCTTTTGATGATCGGGTCTGGATTTTTAGTTTTTAGAGATAGTCTGTAACCAAGTTTGACTGAGTAGTCCTGGACTGGGATCTTTGACTTAATGATGCTGTTGTTATTTGGCGTCCAGGCCCATTCTGCGGGGTCGAATTCCAGGGACCGGATTGGGGTGTCCGGTCTGAAGATTGTCTTTGGCCAAGAACCTAGGACCCTCACTTTCCTGAGGAGGAAGGAATCTAGTACTGAAGATTCTACATTGCAGTTCAGGATAGCTGGCATGTCAGTACTGGTGATGGAAATCGGAAAGGAGAGGAAAGAGGCTCTGGTGTGTGAACCTTGCTGCATGTGGCAGAATTGGTAGGCTCTCGAAGGAGTGATATCCTGGATCATTAAACCCCACTCACCCGGTCTCCACGATTCGTCTTTAACTAGGATATCCTTCCACTCCTGTGGAATTCGGCTAAGTAGGTACCGAAGGTTGGCTCCTCGTCTGTGGCACCCTTTCAGACGGGCAGTGACTTCTTGTTCCGTTATCCAGTCTTTTCTCTCCTCATTCCACAGGTGATCTATTTTCCAGATCCCATTTTTGATCCATGACAGCCACCTCTGTTCCAGGAAAAGGGGGTTGTCAGCCTCGTTCTTTAACCATTCGTTTCCGAAGAGTGGTTGCCTCAGTACTTCATCCTTAGGTTTAGGTTTGTTTGTCTTTTTAGGCATTATTTTCTCCATTGCAATCATACTCGACTTCTTCACACTTGTCATCCATGCAAACAGCGAAACAACAAACTGGCGACATGCGCCCACACAGTACTCAAAGATATCGTAACCAGGTAAGAGTTCTCTTCAAACTGGCTATGGCGACTGAGCGCCCACACAACTCACTGTTCGCACTCTGGATCACCCTGGATGTCCCACACGCACAC